CTTTTCGCTAACGCCCCCCCCCCCCCTTACGTGCGTCGCTTACGACAACGATATCACCGTGGCATTTATCCGCGCAATATTATGCTGTCCGGCGAACACTTCCAGCCAAATACTCGTCGTAAGAGAGAGGTAATTACGATTCCTATTACGCTAAAGCCGATACCGGTAACGCTCGACCCTCCTCTATTCGACCTCCTCTACCCCTCGCTATCCCCGCAGTCGCCCGTGTAATCCGCGAAATAATCCTGAGAGAGACCCACCCGGTCCGATGCAATTTCGCGCGAGTATGAATAAGAATCACGACTCACGCGTGACTCGAGGCTTTCTCCATGCGGCGAAGTTAGGGCGCTGCCGGGCGGAGCAGGCAGGCAGGTAGGGTTGGCGTCGAGAAGAACCATGGTGGTGGCTTGTGGGGTGCGGCGAATGCTTTCTCCATGCGGCGAAGTTAGGGCGCTGCCTGGCGGAGCAGGCAGGCAGGTAGGGTTGGCGTCGAGAAGAACCATGGTGGTGGCTTGTGGGGTGGCGGCAGCAACGGCGGCGGCGGCGGCAACAGTGATATGGTAATATGGTAGGTGACGATGGTGGTGGTGAGTGACCGACTGCGCAGACCCCAAAGTCTCGCAGCCGCGAGTACGTAGTCAAACTCCGGCTCAGTAAGGACTGTGGTCCCCGTTTGCAGTGCAGTTCGAAATCTCCGGGAGCGACCGCGGTTCTTTCGTTTTTCCTCTCTTTCTCCTCTCTTTCTCTCTCTCTCCCTTCCTCTCCTTTTCTCCCTTTCTCTACAAGCTAATGTAATTGAGAATAATTTTTTTTTTTTTCCGAGAGTTGTTAAACAAATTAAATCTCCCACGTCTTCCCTAGTAAATATATTACGGTACTTTTTCCTCGCCCGTGGCTTTGGTCTTAATAATTAATTCCCCGATACTCCTAATCCCAATGAGTTCGAGCCGTCGTCGAACGAGTTCGTAATGAAATGCACCCTTCTCATTCCATCGGATGCTGTTATTTTTCTGGGGAAGTGTTCTGAAATATTCTCGAAGCTTAATAACGTCGGCTTATATTGTGGAGCAGGTATTAAATGAGCGTTAGCACGTACGTTTCTCCCAACGGTATTAAATTTTGACGCAGTTCCTTCGGGAGTTACTTTTTCTTTTCCAGCGCCTGTTTAACGACTCCATTTACAAATGGAAAAATACTGCGGTTAATTACTTATGTGCATAAAATTTTTGGTTTTATCCAATTCATTGGATTTTATTTCGTTAAAATGTCTCTCCCTTTTTCTTTCGACGTTTGTAACATAATGCGTACGTCATTGAAAAAAAAAACTTGGAACGAATCGAAATTTATAACGAATGATTTGTGATGATCATAAAAATATATCGCTGTTGTATGATTTGTGATTTTTTTCAAAGCATCTATATTCGAGGATTTAATATTTTATAGACTACATATATTATATACTGTATATATTATAAATACATATGTGATGAATAAAATAATATGTGTGTAATAATTTTTCGAATCTTAAAATATTATCAAAGTGCACATATAAACAATATACGAAGATTATTCATTTATTTAAAAATATATCAAATTAAAATTGACAGAGGAAAACAAAGAGAAAGAGAGAGAACGAAGTTTATTTATTCTTTTCGGTTTTATTAGTACGAAAACGAATTTATTTATTAAACTAGGATAGCATAAATCGAATATAAAAAGCATCCTGACACGCGAGCTGATTTTATTTTGAATATTTTCTCTTAATATCAGAGCAATATGTACTCGCGTATCGAGCAATAATCTATCAAAAATCAATTTAAAGGTTTTGGATCGCATTCCCGGGGATACGAAACTTTTTATCGGTTATAACAGTCGCCGGACCGTGATTAATCGACCCGTCCGTACTATTAAATGGGATGCGGATAATTAATCGTCGGTTTCACCACAACACCTGCTTGGGCTATAGCGTGGGAACATCTGAACCGTGTTAGATGCGCAGCCTCACAAAAACGGCGAGCATGCCGATCCAAATCGTGTGTGCGCGCGCTTGCTAGTACGCGAGTCATTAAGTAAACTGTAAATCTTGCTTACTCGCTACGCGAGGGCTTATGTCGAATCCAATCGTAAATTCTGATATGCAGGAAAGATATTAAACCTTTACGCACGTACATTCTCTCCCTCTTGGACATTTCTCCTGCTATCCGTTTCAAGCTTTTCCAGCGTACAATAAACGCGTGAGAGAGCCACTCTCCAATAATAAAGCGGTCCATAAAGCTTACGCGGCGTGAATGACGCGGGAATTATAGATATTTACATCGTCTCGCCGTAGAAGAGCGCTTGGTGCCGTGCTTTCCGTACAACATGTTCGTCAATCTATTCGTGTGTCACGCCTACGCGAGTGTCTCCAAGAGAAAAAAAAAGGGAGAGAGAGAGAGAGAGAGAGAAGGGAGCAGGCAGGCAGGTAGGGTTGGCGTCGAGAAGAACCATGGTGGTGGCTTGTGGGGTGGCGGCAGCAACGGCGGCGGCGGCGGCAACAGTGATATGGTAGTGGAAATGGTGACGATGGTGGTGGTGAGTGACCGACTGCGCAGACCCCAAAGTCTCGCAGCCGCGAGTACGTAGTCAAACTCCGGCTCAGTAAGGACTGTGGTCCCCGTTTGCAGTGCAGTTCGAAATCTCCGGGAGCGACCGCGGTTCTTTCGTTTTTCCTCTCTTTCTCCTCTCTTTCTCTCTCTCTCCCTTCCTCTCCTTTTCTCCCTTTCTCTACAAGCTCCCTCCCGTCTTTCTCTCTGTCTTTTCTCTCCTCGCCTATCATCTATCATCGTCTATCTTCTCTCCTCCCTACTCCTATAAGCATTCCCTTTGCTCACAAAAGCGCTTCCTTAACTTTTTTACCCGCGGTTCGTCCGTCACCACGCACTCCGCACGCGATCATCACGCGCGGCGAGCTATTCGGGATCGGTGACCGATCTACGATTGATGGATACGAGCGAAATTTATTGGACAAGCTCCGGCAATCCAAGGTGTCTTTATGGCGAGTCACGTGGATCGGCAATCCGGTGATTCTAGAGAATCTCATTAATTCGATTGGAGCCGAGTGCGCGCTATGAGTCGTGCGTGTTCCGTCTGATCGTATCTGGGATGTCTGTCACTGGACAAGTTCATCGGTCGACTACGCAGACTACGGGGATCACGGGGTGAATCTGACGAGTGCGTGAGCAAAAATTCGCTCGGGTGTATCGGGTCGATGTGCACGAGTCCGAGGAAACTCACTGACAGTTTGCGTCGCTCGGTGTAAGTATCCACCCACTCGCCCTCACACTTCTTCCCCCTAAACTTACCCCTAAAATGCGATACGATACGTCGACCATGAGTCACACGCGTATTCGTGCGATAAGTCAGCTGGAAGTTCGATGCTTGCCGAAGCGACATTCTTGGTTCACGGATTTTCTCGGGTCAGCTGTTTACCGGTTATACTCCGGTCCATACACACATATATGTATATATATTATATACACCGTTTTACGATATCGCATCCGGTAGACTGATTAAATATGCATTTTCCTTGGCGCGCGTTGCCCTTAAAATAGGGCTTCATCGACTCGCGTTAAATTGCCCTGTGTTTACACGATGCTTTTATAGACTTGCGTTGCGTTGATTTACGGAGGAAAGCTTACCTAGTTACACAAGTTTACGAAAGATACAATAAAATAAATCTTTCATTAAACGTTCAGCACGCCGGTAGGAGTTGCAAGTGAATGGCCTTTAAGGTCATTATGTGCTCTTATTCTTGAAAGGAAATTTAGCTTGTTTTTTTTAGAAAGAATCTTTTCATTAAGCTTTTCTACGACTTTTTTATTCTTGTACGCCTGATTCAGAAAGATTGAATTGAATTAAAAATATTGAATCGCAAGATTAATTTGCGAATTGTTGCTAATATTAGTATATTTTTATTAATTTAGAATGTTTCATTTTCAATCAGTATTTATTATTACATAATATTATTTGCCTATTATATATCATAATACATACTTCTAGAATAAAACATACTTCTTAGTTATTGTTTATCTTATTAATTTTTATATTAAATAATACTATAAATCATATAAGTCACACACATTATATTAATCCTATTACGAAAAAAGATAGTCCTATATGTATGTATGATTAATTAATATAATATTATATAACATTCAAGAGAAAAAAAAAGGGAGAGAGAGAGAGAGAGAGAAGTATTGAGAGAGAGTCCGGGTAATAAACGAAGCCGTAAAAAACTCGACGTGGAAACTGCGCGCATGTATTATATTATACAATCGACATCGCCGTCAGACGCGCTAGGATGCGCTGTCAGAAATTTTAATAAGCCACGAAACGATCGGATAGAGATCCACGGCACCGGCCCTGCAACAGCAGCAGCAGCAGCCGCCTGTCGTCCTCCCGCTCGTCCTCCAGTCAACTTCTAGCAGTCGTGATAAATCAGGACACACCTGGCGCTCCTGCTGCACACGCCACGTCCGTGCATACTCGTCGGATTACTTTTCTCCCAGCTTGAAGAAAAGCGTATTCTACGGAGCGGTCGAATTAAGCGCGCGCGGAGGTTGCGGTGGAAAAGGCGAAAGCTATAAATATAAGGCGAGATAGAAGGAGGAGTAGGGTAGACGGAGGTGGAGAGACACTGTCCTCTCGGCACAATGCGTGCCGAGCACCAATCCTATTTTCAGAGATACCCATCTCCCACCGTTTTGGCAGCGGAGAAAGAGGCAGGGAGGTAGCCGGCTAACCGCTTTATCCCTACATCGAATCGTTCCTTCGAGGTGGCTGCAGCTGTTTCATCGCTTCTTTAAAATCCGTCCTTCCCAACGCGGCCCTCTGTGTGTGTCGATTTTCTATCCGAAAAAACATTAGAAATGCAAAAGCCTCCCCCGGTTCCGGCAAAGAGCGCGCGGAATTGCGAGGGAAATTCGCCCGATGTTCGCGCTTTCCATTTCGCTCGTAGAGTGCCTGTGGCGACTTATCGAATTTGTATTACTTTTCATGCATGTCATTCGCACGCTGAAGAGTGTCTCGATAGCGCAAGGGGGGGGGGGCGATATTTTATTATAATGCGCCGATCGATGAGAAACTATAAAGGAATGGAGTTTCTGCGAGTTTCGCGTTTATACATATATCCTTGTAATCTATATTACAAAAGAAATAATAAATTTTGAGCTATTGCGTTACGAGATAACTTTATCAACCAGTAAGGGGGACTGCTATAACTTCGAAACTAACAAATATTTTGTTTGAAAAAAATTCAGGATATACTTGAATTTTTTTTTTTTTTTATTTTATAGGATATACTTGAAATGTTACTTAATAAACGTGCAAAGTTTAGAATTAATATGTTTTATACTTTTCTTTGAAAAAAATTCTCAAAAATCGTCTTATTTTCAGAATGTCAAACTAGGAAAACCCCTTAATAAGTTATTGAAACGATACGGGCTTTATACAGCTTTATACTTTATTTATCCTCAAATATTCTCTTTACACTGACAATTATTCTCGGAAGTAATTATTATTCCAGTGATGATGTGGAATGAGATTTGAGATGAAGATTAAGGGTGTCCTTTGGGTGGGCTAACTCATTTAGTCGAAAGAGAGGCACAATGGACAGCGTCGCTTAGATGTCATCCAAAATGCATTCGGATTTGCGGAGCGTCAGAGATAATAGTAGTAATAATGGTAGTGTAGTTTCTAGGCTAAATTAGATTCAATCTCGCGCGGTATAGTGACCTCATCTTTGATTCATTATCTCTATTTTTGTATAACAAAAGCGAATGAGAGATCAGTCCTCAATATCGATAAATTAGCAATATTATTGCGCGTTACGTTCTGCCGTTTACAGAACCCGACAGATTCTTCCCTAACCACTTATCTGGTTACGAAGTAGTTCGTCCGCGGACGCGCGTGCACACTTAGCCGGCGAAACGGGGTGATTTATAGCGAAACTTGCCGTATAAAACGTACACATACGTTAAACGCTAGGGTGGCTCGAGGCGCGCACCGTTACTTCCCGCAGCTACATATCCCCCTCGCGGCTTAAGTTTTGCGGAGTCGAGAGGAAAGAAGAGACCGGGGGTGGGG